GATAAAGTTTCATGATTTTTTTATCTACTTCATAACCAAAATTAGACAAGTTTATTTCCACTACATAATACAATGAAATTTGTAGTTAAGCGACCTTCATACAAATTAAACAAAAACCATAGATGAATAGGGAGAGTAATGCTGGGAAAAGAAACAGAAATTTAAAGTTGGAAAAAAAATTTGAAAAAATTAGAAGGTGAACTAATTAGAATATGAAGCGATTTTTGTCCATAAAGAAGAATATGAAGCAATTATGTTATGAAAATGGAGAGACCGAAGGAACAAAAGGTGCGTTGTGGATAGGGGGTGCTGAAGTTGAAGAAGATGGAGAGGCTGAAGTGCTGCGCGAGAACTGTGCTAGGTTGAGAATGGAGAGGCAGAAGTACAAGCAAAAGAAATCCTAATTTATAAGGTGTAAGAAGTTTTTAACAAAAACCTAATGCCCAAGATTTTTTTTAAAGGCCCAATTCCTTTGTACGGAGTATCATTAACCCATAGGTGCTGAATTTTTAATTTGAATAGAGGCTACCGCCTCAGTTTTGCCTCACCGCCTCGTACCGCCTTGGCCAGGCAAGGCGTACGCCTCACATACTCTTACCAAGGCTTATGCCTCTGAGGCTTAAAAGGCCCGCCTCACCGCCTTACCGCCTCGAGGCGGTCCGCCTCGAACGCCTTTTAAAACCATGCCGTATATGTGTGTATGTGAATATACACACATATACTGTTGCCATACTGAAATCGCCTAATGGACGCATAGGCAGACACCAAATCGCCTAGGCAACTAGAAGGTACTCTGGAACCTGGCCTTGCCTAGCCGCCGTAACAACTGATTTTAACATTTAATTTGAAAGTGAGATTTTATTATTTAAAAAGATGCAAAATTACTGGCTTTCAAAAGCATCTGAAACTTTCCCGAAGCCACTCAACAAAGCAGCTGGTATTATGTCCATACTGGCAATTTTATCCCCTTCTTTCATCCTCATAGCTACTGAGCCCCGAGTGTTTCTTCCTTGAGATTTTATCTGGGAGAAAGAGCAAAGAGTTACTGTACTGAAGAGATCCCTGAAAATGATCTTTGGATATTAAAGACAGTGACTGATTTGGAGAATTGCTTTACTGCCTCAACAATGATGCAAAGAGACATCTTAAGTTTCAAGCTTGAACTGATGCAAATAAAATATAAAGAAAGGTGTGGCTGTAATATTGTGATATTTCTGTCTACGCTTTTATACATCAACATATCAAATTGTCATGTCCCTGTTTCAGATTCACAATACTTCCACCTAATTTAGAAATAACGGAGTGGAGGATTATAGAACTTTGTTATTAGTGGAGCACATCAACAGACTGTCAATCTATCTATGGATTCCTAATCATTAGTGGAATTCCCAGTTTAGCAAACACTTCACAGCTTTTGACCTTTTGTTATTCAAGAATTTACAACTTTTCATGACAAGGCCTTTTCCAGTATGTTTTAAATAGATGGTAAAACTTTAGATAAAAATAAAGATTTGATGCATCTTCTTTATCACAGAGAACAAGATATGAATACATTAATAAGAGAACATACACTCTCGCAAGGACTCAAAATAACCATTCCCTTTTGGGAAGCCATTGCTACAAAATCATCATTAGTGCAACACTTCACACATTTGAGTTCATCGCCATGGACCTGTTAAAAAGGTTGTGCTTAAGTTTCATTTGTCACAAGTCACAATAGAACATAGAAGAAATGATAACACCAAAATTAAGTGACTAACCAATTGAATCGCTATTATTCCTGTTGACCTGATAGATGAGAAAAAGTTTGAAGACACTTTCTTTATATAACCCTTTGCAGTAAGCATCATAAGATATTGATCCTCCGTGAACTCATCCAAAGGAATTATTGAAGTTATTCTTTCACCATCAGACAAAGACAATATCTAAATCCAGAATGTAGACAATCAGAGTAAATAGAGGAGCAAAGATGACAAGTAAAAAAATGGAAATATATAGTGAATATAGAAATTAATAAACTTAGTTGTGGCAATACCTGGACTAAGGGGGTTCCTGCAGCAGCTCTACTACACTCTGGTATCTTGTAAGCAGGAGCAGAATACACAGTACCTTTATCACTGACAAAATTAAACAAAATGCAGATAGAACTAAGATTTACAAATTTTGATGTGGAACAATAGCCAGCTCATGAAGTGTTTGTCTAAGTGATAGGATAGCACTGTGAGATGCTTAAATCTCAAATATTAATACAGTAGACAAATAAAGCAGAAGTACCTAAAATATAGGACCTGATCATGGGCATGACAAACAAGGACATCAGACATTGTATCATTTACCCTTAATTTACCAACTGATTTCCCAATTGTCCCACGGCGTTGGAGGTGAAATGTATCGGGACTCATCCTCTTAACATATCCCTTCTCACTGACTGCCTATAATTGCAAAACTAAAAATAAAATTTGGGGATAGTAGATCAAGAGGACATCACACACAAGCATGTAGTTTACAGCAAAATTACCAGAAGCATTTCATCATTTGGGATAATATCAATTTCTCCAACTTCACCAGTACCCGAATCCACCAGCATCGAACGCCGAGGAGAGGAAAATTTGTTTTTTATTTCAACCGCTTCATCTTCAATTAACTGGTAGTTTTATAAACAAATATTACTCAAAAACTAAAGAATTAAAATGCCACAAGAAATATTGAATAAGAAAACACAGTTTCATGCCAGACTAATGAAAATGATGCAGATACACTAAAAGAAAAAATGAGAATTAAGGTCTTTAAAGAAGCACTGCCTGGAGTATTTTTTTTCTGCTAGAGAGAAGTTCTTGTAGCTTGAAAATGTGTTCTGTTAAAGATTTCCCTTCATCAACAAACTTATGTCTCTGCATTAGGAACATGAAAGCTGTGAGTGAAAGTTTTCATTAATCAATGTCATATCTCATACAGGCATACAGCACTAGTGAGTGGCATATATGCAACACACCTCTAATGCATTGAGCCTCCTTAGGCTTATATCCAATATAGCATCAGCTTGTTTTTCTGACAGTTTAAAATCTGAAACAAGTGGAAAAGGTTAGCCTTTTCAGCGGGAGAATTTAAACTAGCTTGGCCACAAAGAGTGATTTTTAACTACTGCAGGGATGATTAACACCAGGACCTACCCAGAAGTTCTAATTAACAAGGTATACAAATTAAGCAAATAAATAGAAAAATTAATAGTGGACTAGCTCTACCTTTCATCAAATTAGCAGCTGCAAGTGCATTGGTTGGAGCTTTTTTGATTAAATCAATCACCGAATCCAAATTATCAAGACCAACTAGGATGCCCTTGGATCATAAACAATGAATAAATAAAAATTAGAGAAACCATGATTCATTCTATTAGAAAATAAAGCTCCTATTCTGCTCAAGCATTGCAATTTAATTTGCTGAAAGAACAAGCAACAATAGACTCACAAATTCAAGGATGAATGTGCAGGTTGTTAATTTAAAGGTGTTGTCATGGTGCCAAGGACACCTATTCTACTAGGTAACTGCCTAAGCGACAATCAGGCAATGCATCATAAATAATAATTGATACTCCCTCCATCCATTCTTTATCTTCCCACTTTCCTTTTTGTTCCATCCACTAATCTTCCCATTTCCTTTTTGATAACTTTTTTTGTTAAAAAGACTTGACTAGCCCCACTCCTTATCTTCTTCTTTTTCTTTTCTGTTGGTTAATTCCAGTCCTGGATTTAGTTTAAATTTAAAAAATAAATAAGAAAAAAAGGGCAGGCAGTTACTAGTTACAGTTTTTATGACAGTTTCCAACAAATGTGTTGTTGGTTAGAAACTGTTGTGCCTATTTGTAATGGTTGTGTTGTTTAGTCCTCTATTTATATGTATGGATACATAGTTCTTGACAGCAGTTCCACAATAATAAAACACTCTGTTTATATACTCCAGATCTGATTTTTATTCTCTCAACTAGTATCGGAGCCCTGGTAAAAAATAAAAACATCAAACACAGATCTGTGATCAGTAGTTTTCTTGCAACACACCTTGAAAAAAATAGTCTGTGATGGAGGCCATCAATACTAAAAAAACAAACGATGTTTCTGTTACCCCAGTTCGAGATGGAGGCTTGACAACGTACCAATGTCCTATTCTCACTACAACAAATTATACATCTTGGGCTATCAAAATGTAGTCGTTTATAGATGCCCAAGGAATTTGGGATGGCATAGAACCACCAGATACGACGGAGGTGGATGTCAAGATCCGGAAGAAAGCAAGGGCCTTTATCTTCCAGGCACTACCGGAAGATATTCTGATGCAAGTAGAAGGACATGCAGAGGCCAAGGACGTGTGGGATGCACTCAGGGTGCGTTATCTTGGAGCCGATCGGATTAAACAAGCACGAATCCAAACTCTGAACAGAGAGTTTGAACTGCTGAGAATGAAGGAAAGTGAGAGTATTGATGATTTTGCAAGCAAGATCAGCAAGATCGTGTCTAAGGTTCGGGCACTTGGATCGACAATCGAGGAGAAGAAACAAGTAAATAAGTTGCTTAACTCTGCCACAAACAAGTTCCTTCCAATTCTTGCCAGAATAGAACAGTATTCGGACTTGAATACTATGGCGTTTGAGGAAGCTGTTGGTAGCCTTAAGGCCTATGAGGAACGGATTACTCCTGGTGGATCAGTCAAAGATTCATCAGATCAACTGTTGTTAACAAGGGCTGAATGGCAAGAAAGGCAGAAAACTGAGTCAAGGACTGAGTCAAGGCAGGCAGGCAGGGGCCGTGGAACAGGATTTGGTGATCACCGTGGCCAAGGTTGTGGGCGTGGCAGACCTAACGGGCATGGACGAGGGGGTCGAAACCCCACAAATAATAACCGAAGTTTTGGACAGGAAGAACAACGTGGTAAACGTGACCAAAGGAACCTGCGGTGTTATAATTGTGATAAGCTTGGTCATTTCTCTGCCGAGTGTCGGGCTCCTAGAAGAACTGATGATGAAGCTAATCTAGCAAAGGAGGATGATGAACCCACTTTGCTAATGGTAAAGAATGTACAAGATGTGGTGGCGCTGAATGAGGAGAGATTGTTTCCTTGTGAATATGCCAAATAGAACAACGATGAAGGCACGTGGTATTTAAATAATGGTGCTAGCAATCACATGACCGGGGAACGGGGTTATTTTAGCAACCTCGATGAAAAGATAGTGGGACGTGTGAAGCTTGGAGATGGTTCAACAGTTGAAATCAAAAGTAGAGGGTCTATTCTTTTGCAATGTAAGAACGGTGATCAGAGGCTCATCACCAATGTCTACTATATTCCGGACTTATGTAATAATATACTAAGTTTGGGCCAACTTGACGAGGTGGGATGCAAAATTCTTATGGAGGACGGTTTTCTTTGGCTATATGACCGATCAGGAGCAACATTGATGAAAGTGAAGAAGTCTCCAAACCGACTATATAAGGTACATCTTCATATAGTTCCACCAACATGTTTACTTGCAAAGATGGACGAGGCAGCATGGATTTGGCATGCACGCCTTGGACATTTAAACTTTGATGCTATAAGGAAGTTATCAAAAGAAAAATTGGTGATTGGTGTGCCAAACATAAATCACAAGTCACAATTGTGTGAAGCTAGTCTCGTTGGGAAGCAACGACATCTTCCATTCCCATCCCAAATTTCATATCGAGCGCAGCAGCCCCTTGAACTGATACATGCTGATCTATGTGGTCCTATTACACCAAGTACACTGTTGGGGTATCTAAGAATACTGAATAGCAAACCAAAACCAAACAAGAACACACACAAAACAGAAAATCAAAAAAGGAGAAAACGGAACACAAGATTTATAGTGGTTCGGTCGGCTGACCTAATCCACTTTGCAACTAGGGTTTTTATTATTCAAGTGCTCACAGAATTACAAGTACAGAGATCCTTATTTATGAAGACTAAACTAGGGTTGAAAACTTAATCCCCAAGTTAGGCCCAAGCCCACATAGAGAATTAGGGCCGGCTAAATTAAAAACCTAATTTACTGCCATATGGGTC